GCCCATGCCATCCCCTTCCTCCTCTCCCCCCCCACCAGGCACATATCCCCTAATCTCTGAGGGACCCCATGAGATTTACAACCGAGGGAGCCCTGGGGGGGAACCCCTGAACTGTCTGCAAGGCCCCCCACTTCCCAGTGAGCTAAAGCAGCCCAGCCAAGCTCTCCTGTGGCTGCTCCTATGCCCGTCCTCATTTCACTGCCCTAGGTGTGTGTTTGCTGCAGCCAATGACTTCTCGCTTGCTTTTAAATAACTAACATGAGCCATTTGGGCCCCGGGGGCAGAGCCTTGGCCTGGGGAGTGAATGGTCCCTGGGGTTGGATTCCAAGGGGCACATAGGTTGTAGGTCTCCTCCCTGGCCTGGGGCCTCATGTAGGAGGCAATCGATGCATTTCACGTCAATGTTCCTCTCTGTCCTTCCCTCTCTCCCCCTCTTTCTAAAACTCAATAGAAAAATATCCTCGGGTGAGGATTAAAACAAAACCATTAATAACTCCAATTATATACTGTCAACTTTTATTTTTTTCTTTTCAATGTATTTTATTGATTTTTTTTTTTTTTTTTTTTTTACAGAGAGGAAGAGAGAGGGATAGAGAGTTAGAAACATCGATGAGAGAGAAACATCGATGAGAGAGAAACATCGATCAGCTGCCTCCTGCACACCCCGGGGATGTGCCCGCAACCAAGGTACATGACCTTGACCGGAAGCAAACCTGGGACCCTTGAGTCTGCAGCCCGACGCTCTATCCACTGAGCCACACCGGTTGCAGCTGTCAACTTTTCTTACACTGAGGAGAGTAACCTATGCAGAGAAGAATCAAATGCATTTTTTTTTTAAACACTCCCGCCATCTAGCCTGATATTCTTCAGGGTTATCCACCCACCCTCCCTTTTTATTTTTATTTTATTTTGTTATAGATCTTTTTATTTTTCACTTAATATATTTTTACTGATTTTCAGAGAGGAAGGGAGAGATAGAAACATCAATGAGAGAGAGACAGTGATTGCCTGCCTCCTGCACAGCCCTTCAGTCCGCAGGCCAGAGTTCTGTCTACTGAGCCACACCAGTGAGGTAAGGCTCACATGCATTTCTTATGGTTCCTACAGGAAAAAATATATAAAAATTAATAGCAACACCGTGTGCCAAACACCGTAAATATTGTCGCTTATAGTATCTCATTTACATATAATAAAGCACTTAATGGATAGAGAATACTGTAAAATTCGTTAAAGAGAAAAGTTTATGTATAATTAGTGTATTACACTCCACCTGGTAGGCAGCCCAGAATCAGGGAAAAAATCCGTGTCTCAGGAAGAAAAGGTGGAGTCTGTTTTTGACTAAATGCTAAGGTATGTGTTCCCAAATATTCCCCAAGGAAAAGAAAGAAAAAATAACAGCAGCCTTTAAAATAATCTCCGCACTTCTTGTCCTGCCTACCTAAAATTAGAATCGAAATATCTCTGGGTCAGGGCGCAGATAGGAGTCAACCAGTGGGTACGTGGATAAGTGGAGCAGGTCAGCGTTCCTCTCTCTCCCTTCTTTCCTCTAAAATCCAATAAAAATTTAAAAATAAATATCAAAATTAAGTAGTTTGGATTTTTAAAATTTCATAGCACCTTTTTTTTAAAAAATATATATATTTTATTGATTTCTTACAGAGAGGAAGGGAGAGAGATAGAAACGTCGATGAGAGCCAAGATCGGTTTGGCTCAATGGATAGAGCGTCGGCTTGGGGACTGAAGGGTCCCGGGTTCGATTCTGGTCAAGGGCATGTGCCTTGGTTGAGGGCATATCCCCAGTAGGGGGTGTGCAAGAGGCAGCTGATCGATGACTCTCTCTCATCGATGTTTCTAACTCTCTATCTCTCTCCCTTCCTCTCTGTACAAAAATCAATAAAATATATTTAAAAAAAAAACAAAAAAAAAAGTCGATGAGAGAAACACTGGGGATGTGCCCGCAACCGATGTACATGCCCTTGACCGGAATCGAACCTGGGACCCTTCAGTCCGCAGAAAGACGCTCTACCACTGAGCCAAACCGGTTTCGGCCATAGCACCATCTTTTGTTAAATTACACTATCATAAAGAAGTTACTTAGGCAAAGATGATTTTCCTCCTTTTAAAAAAGGTAAACTTGCATGGCTGAAGTTTAACCCTTCAATACAAACATTTCCCCACCAACGATTGCCTGTGTCCGTTATTTTTCAATAAAGCTGGGAAGGATCGTCCTGCTGGTGTGACTCCGTTGTTTGGGCGTCATCCTGCGCACCAGATGGTGCCGGTGGTTTGATCCCTGGTCAGGGTACGTGCCAGGCTTGCAGGCTTGATCCCTAGCAGGGCGCATACAGGAGGCAACTGACTGGTGTTTCTCTCTCACATCAATGTTTCTCACTCCCTCGCCCGTCTTCTCTCTCTAAAAATCAATTTAAAAATCTTAAGAAGAGAAAAAAAAACCTGGAAAAAACAAAAACTGTTTGTTTGGCAAATGTTAACATCTTCGCCACCAAACAATACAGTAGCAGTAGCGTTCCAGTCTGGCCAGGGGGTGGATGCTGTCTAAAGAATGCACGTCCCCTTAATTAATAATTAATAGTTTGGTGACTGTGTCTGTCACACTGTCATACAGCAGTGAGTGAATTTCTCACACTTCCGTGCTGACCTTAGGAGATTGATGGAAGAAAAACAAAACAAAACACACAATACAAAACGAGAGAGCACACCTGGATTGGTAGGTTATTAAAAATTCCAAACAGCTGATAAGTCTAAATCTGTTCCTTTCTTACCTAACCACATTCATTTATTGACTTAAATATACCCACCTGGTTTCAATTACTTGTCTCCTAGGTCTGAGATATTAATAATATAGCTCCCCCCCATAACTGGATTTTTAAATTTTATTTTGAACTTGTATTCTTTCTTTAATGCACAGGTTATATATTTAGTACCACCCAGAGAAAACGTTACCTTCACAAGTTTTTGTAAGCATCTGAATGTAACACATTGGGTCATATTGTGGGGGACATTTTTCACTTGACCCTAAAGCATGGACATCTTTCCATTTCAATAAGTATTGACATTATCCTTCCCAGTCAGACTCAAACACGATTTGCTGAAATAGCCCATGACTGGACTCAGTTCTTAACGACGAAGCCATAACTGGTTTCAGAAAGACGATTCATACAAGGTGGGCGCATTCTGTCTGACCCCAGGGACCTCGGTACTTTTCCCTGCAAACGTCCCACTTCCTGCTACTCAGCTGCTGGTCACAGGGCCCTGCCAGGACGCGATTGGCCAGGCTCCTGGGCCAGGAATGCTGAGCCGCTCCTGGCTGTGTGAACAGGCCTTCTATGGGCAACGGCCAGCCGCGCTGGTACCTGCCTGCTCTCCTCCTCAGGCCTGTGCTTCCCGCTGGGAGTCAGACAGGGAGAAAGTCGGAGCGGGAGAGCCACAGCCCTCCTGCAGACCTGCAATGAAAACAGGGTGCCTTTCGCAAGAGCTGTGCACCCTGGGCTGGAAGGAAGCAATGACAGCCACTCCCGCGGCGGGCGGGCTGGAGCGTACATCGTGAATACATGTATTTTTAAAATGTATTTTTATTGATTTCAGAGAGGAAGGAAGAGAGGGAGAGAGAAACACCCACGATGAGAGAGAATCAGGGATCGGCTGCCTCCTGCAAGTCCCCCACTGGGGATCAAGCCCGCAACCTGGGCTTGTGCCCTTGACCGGAATTGAACCTGGGACCTTTCAGATAGAAGCCGAGGCTCTATCCACCGAGCCAAACCGGCTGGGGCAGGAACGTTTTTGTGACGCTCACAGGGCAGGGGCGTGGGAAACTATTAAATACAAAACCCAGGTTTCATCTGCAAAAACCGGGGGCTGCCGGCGACCTAGGGATCTTGTGTAAAACTCACAGAGCACACGTTCCAGGAACCGCTCTGCAAGCCGGGGCCTTCTCCTCGGCCGGTGGGAGCGCAGCCCGGCCGGTGCTGTGGCTGCTGGAACCCAAACAAGACAGATTCCTTTCTAACTGAGACAGGTTTCTCCCTCCCTCACCCACCGGTGACTGAAGCCACTGCAGGCCGCACTCCTGCTTTGTAGGCAGAGGCCTCCCCTCTGACCTTGAGCTGAGGGCCCTGTCCCCGGGCCCCCGTGTCCCCGTTTGGAACAGGAAAGCTGCTTTTTTCCCCCCCTCCGGAATGGTTTCCCAGTGCTTTGTTTGTTTTGTTTTTTGTTTGTTTAATAGTAGAGTATACTATTACCCTTAGGGCTCTCTCCGACCCTCGTCCTCTGCCTGCCTTCCCCACGTCCACCGCCGGGGGAGGAGGCAGGGGGCCGGTGTCCAGGGTGTCCGAGCCCAGGGCAGGCCCGCCCCCTCCGGAGCCGCTCGGGAACCTGAGTCCGAATCGGAAACCGAAACCGCGCTGCGAGGCTGACGACGGTCAAGTTTGGAGCCGCGGCCGGAGCGCGCCCAGCGAGCCCCGCAAAGAGCCGCCTCCGAGCCGGAGGGCTGTCCCGCTCCGGTCCCCGCCGTCCCGATCCCGCCGGCTGAGGTGCCCCGGTGGCGGGGCAGCAGCGCCCTGAGGACTAACCAGCGGAGTAAAGTTCCGAAGCTCCGGGCGCCGCGGCCCGGGCCGGGCGGGCGCAGCGGGAAGCCTGGCGCGGACGGGGCGCTGCGGTCCGGGCGCCGCGCTCCCCCCGCCCCGCCCCGCCCCGGGGTTTGCTCAGCAGCCGGGGGCGGGGGGCAGCCGGAGGCCCATCCCGGCGCGCAGGGCCGCCCGGAGAGAACACTGTCCCCCGCGCGGGCGGCGCTGACTCAGCCGGGCGGCGGCGGGAGGGACCGGCCGGCGGGGCGGGGCGCCGGGCCCCGAGGGGTTAAGTGGGCGGAGCCGGCGGAGCCCCGCCCCCCGGAGGCCGCGGAGCCGTATTTATAGCCGCCGCGCCGGCCGCGCCGCGTCAGTCCCGCCGGCCCGGCCCCGCGCCCGCGCCCGCGCCCCCCGCCCGCGCCATGGAGCGGCCGGCGCCCCTGGCCGTGCTGCCCTTCTCGGACCCGGCGCACGCGCTGAGCCTGCTGCGCGGCCTGAGCCAGCTGCGCGCCGAGCGCAAGTTCCTGGACGTGACGCTGGAGGCGGCGGGCGGGCGCGACTTCCCGGCGCACCGCGCCGTGCTGGCGGCCGCCAGCCCCTACTTCCGCGCCATGTTCGCCGGGCAGCTGCGCGAGAGCCGCGCCGAGCGGGTGCGCCTGCACGGGGTGCCGCCCGACACGCTGCAGCTGCTGCTGGACTTCAGCTACACCGGCCGCGTGGCCGTCAGCGGCGACAACGCCGAGCCGCTGCTGCGCGCCGCCGACCTGCTGCAGTTCCCGGCCGTGAAGGAGGCGTGCGGCGCCTTCCTGCAGCAGCAGCTCGACCTGGCCAACTGCCTGGACATGCAGGACTTCGCCGAGGCCTTCAGCTGCGCGGGGCTGGCGAGCGCGGCGCAGCGCTTCATCCTGCGCCACGTGGGCGAGCTGGGCGCCGAGCAGCTGGAGCGGCTGCCGCTGGCGCGCCTGCTGCGCTACCTGCGCGACGACGGGCTGTGCGTGCCCAAGGAGGAGGCGGCCTTCCAGCTGGCGCTGCGCTGGGTGCGCGCCGACCCGCCGCGCCGCGCCGCGCACTGGCCGCAGCTGCTGGAGGCCGTGCGCCTGCCCTTCGTGCGCCGCTTCTACCTGCTGGCGCACGTGGAGGCCGAGCCGCTGCTGGCGCGCTGCCCGCCCTGCCTGCGCCTCCTGCGCGAGGCGCGCGACTTCCAGGCGGCGCGCTACGACCGCCACGACCGCGGGCCCTGCCCCCGCATGCGCCCGCGCCCCTCCACCGGCCTCGCCGAGATCCTCGTGCTCGTGGGCGGCTGCGACCAGGACTGCGACGAGCTGGTCACCGTGGACTGCTACAACCCGCAGACGGGCCAGTGGCGCTACCTGGCCGAGTTCCCCGACCACCTGGGCGGCGGCTACAGCATCGTGGCGCTGGGCAACGACATCTACGTGACGGGTGAGTGGGCCGGCCGGCCGCCCCCCGCCCCTGGGGTCGCCGGGGCTGGCCGCCTGCGCCCCCCTGGGAGCGGGCCTGCCTTATCGGGAAACCCGCAGAACCCGGACCGGGCACCGCGCCCAGCGGGCACTGCCCGTCCCCTCCAGCTGGACGGCGGTTCCTCCCAAGCCGGCCCTCGAACCTGGTCCTCTCAGCCTAAAAGAAGGGCCTCCCGTGTGTGGGTGTCTCTCCGGGGAGCCCACAATTTTCCCCAGGAAGCGTCACTCCCCCCATTGGGTTGGCAGAGACTGGCGCATTCACCCCGCACAATGGGTGCTTTCTTTCATCCCGAGGGAACCCAGCGTCAGGCCCGGCCGCCGCCCTGTGACACATCCACCCCCTCCCGGGGCCTCCTCCCCGCCCGGCCTCACGGCCGCGGGGCTGGCTTTCGGTCCCCCGGACCGGGCGCCCCTGGCCGGGCACCTGGGCTGAGCTGGTGTCACATGGTGTTTAGGCTGCGCGCTGCCCAGTGACTGTAAACAGAGTCACATGCCCGGAGGTTTTCTTGCAGGGACTTGGCTCAAACCCCAAAACACTGCCGAGTCATGCTGGGCGGGCCCGCCGGCGTCTCCCACATTCTTTATTGAGGATAAATCTTGGCGCAGACGGAGGCCACCTCCTCGCGTGCGGTGAGGAGGGGTGGTCTCGGCGAGGGCTATATAAGGAAAGGAGCCGGCGGCCGGGCGTGCACTGGGCTGGTGAGGCTGTGGGCTGGGCCTGGCGCGGGAGAAAGTCGCTCTGAGACGGTGGGGTCCCTGTGGGCTCGGAGCTGACCAGGGGGCGGCCTCCCGGTCTGAGGACACACCGCTCTGTGGCCACAGCTTCCTGACCCACAGCTCGGGGCCAGCCTCTGCGGCCAGCCCCCAGAACCGGCCCCTTTGCAGGCTGAGGCCGGCCCTGCGTTTGGGAGCCAGGCCCCCGCCCCCAAGCCTGGCCGGGAACTCCCTCCCAAAGTCTGAGTCCCAGCTGAGCAGCTAATCCTCTGGGTGGACAGGTGGCGGTGCTCCCGGCAGCTGCCCGTCGGGAATTTCACGGGGGAGCGCCCCCGCTGCCCAGGGCCGCAGTTCTCCCCTAGAAGGAAGAAGGCCCGCCGCCCGCCGACTCGTTTCCTCCCTTTGAAAAGCCGGATAGAATGTCCCGTCTGCACTGCCCGTGGCGCCAGCCTGGGGGGCAGGGAATGCAGCCCCCGGGTCCTGGGGTCCCCTCACCCCGGGGTCCCTCCACCCCGGGGTCCGCCGAGGTCCTGGGTGGACTTGTTTACCTCATGATTACATTACAGTCAGCGGCGCCGTTGGGCTTTGATGCTTATTTTGTTTCCGCTCTTTCTGGAACTGTAGACAGAGAGGATGGGCAAGCCGGGTGGGGGGAAGAGGTTTGACAGTTGTCTGCGTGGGAAAGTTTATTCTGGTCGTTATTTATTAATCTTGCAGTGGAAAGTGGATTCAACTGTAAAGCTGTCCTTTTTTAAAAACATTTTATTGATTTTTTTACTGAGAGGAAAGAGAGAGAGAGAAACATGGATGAGAGAGAAACATCAATCAGCTGCCTCCTGCACACCCCCCACTGGGGATGTGCCCACAACCAAGGTACATGCCCTTGACCGGAGTGGAACCTGAGACCCTTCCGTCCGCAGGCCGATGCTCCATCCTCTGAGCCAAACCGGTCAGGGCTGAAAGCCTACCCCTGCCCCACCCTGTGTTTGACACCTCGATGAGTTTTTCCTAAGTCAGGAACTGGCGCTCGGACGGCCCCTCGGCATTACGTTCCGGGTTGGGTTTCCGGCTTGCGGCCTGAAGTGGGGGTGGCCAGGCCGCCTAGACTTCGGGGAACAAGCCCCTGTGCAGCCCGCTCCGAGCCCTGTCCCCAGGAGAACCGACTCTGAGGCCGGATGCCCTGGTGCAGTGGAGGAGCTGGACCTGTAGGTGGGTCCAGACCCAGGTGGTTGTTTTGTTTTGTTTTTTTAAGTTTATTTATTTATTTTATATATATATATTATTGATTTTGTACAGAGAGGAAGGGAGAGAGAGAGTGAGTTAGAAACATCGATGAGAGTCATCGATCAGCTGCCTCTTGCACACCCCCTACTGGGGATATGCCCGCAACCAAGGTACATGCCCTTGACCGGAATCGAACCCGGGACCCTTCAGTCCCCAAGCCAACGCTCTATCCATTGAGCCAAACCGGTCTCGGCTAGACCCAGGTTGTTTACTTACAACGGTGGCCCCAGGGCCTTTGCTTGGCCACAGGGCTTGGCGGGGTGTGTGTGGCCGGAAGCCGGCGCCTCGGGCAGTGAGCCTGGTCAGTCTGCATCGCCCCGGCCGGCCGGAAGCCCCAGGCCCAGGCGCAGGAGGCCATGTGTTGACATCAAATTCCCGCGGAGGTGCCCTCTGGGGCGTCCGGGAAGGCGGGGGCGGGTGACTCGCCGGGCGGGCGGGCGCTGACTGCTGCCCTGCGTGTCCCGGCAGGTGGGTCGGACGGCTCCCGGCTGTACGACTGCGTGTGGCGCTACAACTCGAGCGTGAACGAGTGGACGGAGGTGGCGCCCATGCTCCGGGCCCGTGAGTACCACAGCTCCTCCGTGCTGGACGGGCTGCTGTACGTGGTGGCGGCGGACAGCACAGAGCGCTACGACCACGCCAGCGACTCCTGGGAGGCGCTGCGGCCCATGACCTACCCCATGGACAACTGCTCCACCACGGCCTGCCGCGGCCGCCTCTACGCCATCGGCTCGCTGGCCGGCAAGGACACCATGGTGATGCAGTGCTACGACCCCGGCACGGACCTCTGGTCGCTGGTGGACTGCGGCCCGCTGCCGCCCTGGTCCTTCGCCCCCAAGACGGTGACGCTGAACGGACTCATGTACTTCGTCAGGTGAGTCCCCGGGGCCCGGGCCCGTGCGAAGCACCTCGTCCAGTTCTCGCCGCGAAGACCAGGCGGGCTGGGGTCCGGGCTGGTCCTTCTGACCTGCAGCCCCTGCTGGCGGCGGTGTCTGGGCTGCTAGGCTTCCGTGGGGATGGGGTCCCGGGTGGAGCTGGGTCCCTCTGGGGAGCTTCGAGGCGCTAAATGGATGAAGCCCTTTGCCTGGACCTCCCCCTGGGGGCGCCCCGAAGGCCTTTGTTGGAAGCACTCCATCCTGTGGAGAGGGATTCTGAACCTCAGACCAGGGGACACTGTGGACACTCAAGACCTGGGGGAACTTGTGACCTTCTTTTCTTTTTTTCCTAGAAACATTTTATTGATTTTTTACAGAGAGGAAGGGAGAGGGATAGAGAGCTAGAAACATCGACGAGAGAGAAACATCAATCAGCTGCCTCCTGCACATTCCCCACCGGGGATGTGCCTGCAACCAAGGTACATGCCCTTGACCAGAATCGAACCCGGGACCTTCCAGTCCGCAGGCCGACGCTCTATCCTAGGGGTGTCGAACTCAATCAGAGAAGGGGCCAAAATTTAAAATCCAGCCTAAATCGCGGGCCGAATGGTTTACTGAACAGTCATAAACTGTCATTGTGATGGAAACGCAGCGGAGTGCAGTGATGACAGCGCGGTGCGGGCCACATTGCAAGGCCTGGCGGGACGGATTTGGCCCGCGGGCCTTGTGTTTGACACATGTGCTCTATCCACTGAGCCACACCGGTTCTGGCGAACTTGTGGTCTTGACAGAACTTCCCTTTGCTCACTGAGCGGTGTCCGCCCCATTCAGGCAGGTGGGGCAGCGGCCAGGTGGCTGGACTGCCCCGCCCCTTTCCGTGGCCAATGCTCTCCTGCCGGTTCTGGGTCTGTGTGTCCCCTCCCCGCCTGGCCTGGCACCGGGAGGGCCCTGACTCTGGCCCAACGAATGCTGTTGTCAGGGCCCTGCAGCCGCTCCGGACCGGGCAGGGCACGGTGCTGACCGGCTGCTGCTGCGGGGCTGAGGGCAGCGGGAGCACTCGCTGGCCTGGACCTGCCGGGCGCTGGGTTGCCTGCCTCTGGGCGTTGTCACGGTGGGCCCCAGGGTTGTCCTAAGTCACAGATGGCGGAAAGGCCTGCGGGCTGGGGGCTTACTGCCACGGGCTTCCCGTGGACGGACAAGGTGCGAAACAAGGGTGCCAGGTCCCTGTGGAGCCACCGCAGCGCGGCAGCACCCACAGGCCTCGGTGACTAGTCACAGCCATGTGTCCCCGCCGCTTCCCTCCCTGCCTGAGCCGCCCTGCGTATACAGACCAGGAGGGAAGGGGGACCAGGAGGGAGCCGTGTCCCCTTGTCTCCCTCAGGCTGGGGCTTTGGAGCCTCAGAAACTCCCCACCCCCAAGCCTGGAGCCATCTGAGCTGCCACCCTCGCCCCCGGGCTTCTGGTGAGCGCACCCAGGCAGGGGCCTGCTTGCCCCCAGCAGAGGGACCGGGCATCTCCGTGGCCGGAGCCTGGGGGCTGCTCCGAGAAAGCCCTGGAACCTGCCAGCCCCGCGTCCCGTCAGACACCGGCTGACCCTTCCCCGGTCCTCCGAGGGGGCGGAGAAGCTGTAAATACCTCGGAGCATTTGCCTGCAATCCCCGGGCTCTGCAGGCTGGTGCCTTTGAGAGCGTCCTCCGCCCCCTGGTCCCTCCTCCGCCGCCCCCCCCCTGTCCCTCCTCCGCCCCCTCCTCCGCCCCCTGGTCCCTCCTCCGCCCCCGTCCCTCCTCCACCCCCGGTCCCCCCTCCGCCCCCTGGTCCCTCCTCCGCCCCCGGTCCCTCCTCCGCCCCCGGTCCCTCCTCCGCCCCCTGGTCCCTCCTCCGCCCCTGGTCCCTCCTCCGCCCCCGGTCCCCCCCCCCCCCCCGTCCCTCCTCCGCCCCCTGTCCCTCCCCCCCCCCCCCCCCCCGTCCCTCCTCCACCCCGGTCCCTCCTCCGACCCCCGTCCCTCCTCCGCCCCCTGTCCCTCCTCCGCCCCCCTCCCCCGTCCCTCCTCTGCCCCCGTCCCTCCTCCGCCCCCTGGTCCCCCCCCCCTCTCCCCCGTCCCTCCTCCGCCCCCCCCCCCCGTCCCTCCTGAGAGGTGGCACAAGCCCACGTCAGAAGGACGAGGAGGGGGATGGAGGAGGAGGAGGAGGAGAAGGAGAAGGATGATGAGGCGGGTGGGAAGAACCCCGATAAGTTAAAGATCTGAAGGCAGGGTGGCTGCAGCGAGGGGAGGGCATGGGTTGGTGCAGGTGCAGGTGGTAGGGAAGGGGTTATCCAGCTGAGGGTGTGATCTTCGGGTTCAGGGAGAAAGGCTGAGTGCAGGCACCTCGGAAGCCAGGCCAGAGGTGGGGGCGGGGCCTGGAAGCAGGGCTGCCAGATGGCACCAAAGAAGCCCCCAAAGGCGAGGGGCTTGGAGGAGCCTCCTCTCCAGTCCCTGCCACCCACTCTCCCTCCCCTCCACAGGGATGACTCTGCCGAGGTGGACGTGTATAACCCCGGGAAGAACGACTGGGACAAGATCCCGTCTATGAATCAGGTGAGTCTGCCTGCGTGGGAAGCACAGGCCGCCCTGGGGAAGAGAGTTCTCCGGAGGCCGCACGTGCAAAGGCCCTGGGGCATGGCGAGCCCGTTCCTAGAACAAGGTCTCAGCTGCTGTGGCTGCTGCTGAGCGAGCAGGCTGACAACAGAGGGGACAAGGTCAGACAGGAGGTCTTTGGGGGTTGACCTTGGCAGTGTACTCAGCGCCTGCTGTGTGCTCTGAGCTGGGCCCCACTCCGTGCTGGTGCTCATGCCTGATCGGGTCTCGCCTTCTCCTGCACGTCCAGGAGGGAGGTGCCGAGCCTGAGAGTGTCATGGAGTCACGAGGCCATGGCAGCATCTGGCCACGTGGGCAAATTTCCTCCGTCCCAGACCCACCTCCACCACCTGCATCTTTTCTTTTTTTTAAATATATTTTATTGATTTTTTTACAGAGAGGAAGAGAGAGGCACAGAGAGTTAGAAACATCGATCAGCCGCCTCTTACACACCCCCGACTGGGGATGTGCCCGCAACCAAGGCACATGCCCTTGACCGGAATCGAACCCAGGACCCGTCAGTCCGCAGGCCGACGCTCTATCCACTGAGCCACACCGGTTTCGGCCACCTGCATCTTTTCTATCTTAACATTTCCGTCCCTGCTCTCAGGGTACCTCTGCGTGGCAATGCCATTGTTTACAACATCACAGCGTGACATCTTTTTTTTTTTTTTTTAATATACTTTATTGATATTCTACAGAGAGGAAGAGAGAGAGATAGAAACAAATGATGAGAGAGAAACATCGGTCAGCTGCCTCCTGCACACCCCCCACTGGGAATGTGCCCGCAACCAAGGCACATGCCCTTGACCGGAATCGAACCTGGGACCCTTCTGTCCACAGGCCGACGCTCTATCCACGGAGCCACACCGGTCAGGGCTATCTTTATCCTTAAGAATTGACTTTACATTTCCCCCAAAGCGAGCTACACGTCCTAAAGCAAGTGCGAGGAAGACGGTGGTCCAGCCTCACGGCTCCGCGCTTAGTCTCGGGTCGTCCCAGAGGCTCGGCGCCCCCTCTGTCAGGCGGGAAGACCGGCCGCACCTGCCGAAGAGGCCGGTGCTGCTCCCAGAGGCTTGCGCCTCTGCAGCGCCCTGAGCACGGGCGGGACTGCGCGTGGAGCCCCTTTCCGGGGTGGGGGGCGGGAAGGGTGCTGGCGGGTCCCGGCTCCCTGCATCGCTTCCCGAAGCATCGAGGCCGCCCCTCCTCGGGGTCCCAGGCGCCGCCTCCAGGGAGGGACCGCGGGGGCTGTGCCAGGCGGGGCACCGGCCTCCCTCACCGCTGCCCTCGGCCCGCAGGTGCACGTGGGAGGCAGCCTGGCCGTCCTCGGCGGGAAGCTGTACGTCTCGGGCGGCTACGACAACACGTTTGAACTCTCGGACGTGGTGGAAGCCTACGACCCCGAGACGCGGGCCTGGAGCGTGGTGGGGCGGCTCCCGGAGCCCACCTTCTGGCACGGCAGCGTCAGCATCTTCCGCCAGTTCATGCCGCAGACGCCCTTGGGCGGGCGCGGCTTCGAGCTGGACGGCAGCGCGGGCGACGTGGACGTGGGCCAGCCGGAGCGCCCCCGCGAGCTGCACTAGCCCCGGCCGGCCCGGGGAGGGCCGCGATGCAGGCACCCAGCGCCTCGGGGCGGCGACCCGCCTCCGAGCCTGAGGACAGGCTGGGCTCACCAGGTGGGACCCTCTGCATCCAGACCCCGAGTCACAGCTGCGGGGTCAACGCCATTGTGAACGGCCCTCCCTCGGCCCAGGAAGGACTGCCTCCTCAGGCCACCACCCCTGCCCCCCGCCTCCCCACTGCCACCCCCCACACCCACCTCCGGGGAGGAGAGCCACCGGGATGAGTGGAGGGGTCAGGGTGCACTGGGGATCAGGCAGGCGATGGCTGTTCCCCGGATGAAGGGGGTTGTGCACAAAAACAGTCCACAGGGCCAGGCCTCCCTGCGGCAGCTGAACTCAGACCCAGGGGCGCAGGGGAGTGGGGGAGCCCAGGGGGCCTGCTGAGTGTGCCCATGCGCCTGGGCTGAGCCTGATGGTGTCCCTGCCCGCCCACCCCACCAGCTGGCATGTCCGCCCTCCACCCTGGCTCGGAGGCCTCCACGTTCGGACCCAGTGCAGTGGGGAAAAGCCTGCGGGTCCCAAGGTCAGGCTCCCACCGGGAGGTGCCTGTGGCCAGGAGCCCTGTCTCGGAGCTGCCCGGCTAGCGTGGCTTCGGGTTGGTTGCACGGTTTGAAAGGCAGTTTGGGCTGAAGAGGCGGCGGGAGCAGGGCTAGTAGTTACCTGTGATCTGTTGCAGGCCTCTGCGGAGGGGTGGGGGTCCCAGGAGGTGGGCGCTCAGGGCATGGTTCTCCGGGGGGGGGGGAGAGCGTTTCCGTGGATTGGGCGGGCTTGTCCCTCGGGCCCCGGCGTAGCTCTGCCAGAGTTGGTCTCCCGTCCAGTGGGAAAGAATGTACGTTCTCACCAGGAGAAGGGGTTCGTGGCGCCTCACAGATGCCACTGAAGACCTCACGTGGCCAGTGGCCCCGGCTTTGGGAGGAAGCCTGTGGCCTCCGGGGCTGCTGGGCGGGCCCTGCTGCGTGTGGTCATCGCCGAGGGTTAGACCTTGTGTCCAGACACCTGCTGGGCCACAGCTCACCACCAGCCCTTCCCACACCCTTGGCATCCTTCCCACGGAGGGCGGGCATGTAGGGGTCGGGATCAGAATGAGCCTTCAGACGTGTGCCCTGCCCTAGGGTCTCCCCGCCCTGGGGTTCAGGCTGGGAAGCCCCTACCACTTGCAGATGAATGTACTGACTTGGGGACAGAGGGCTGGACCAGCTCGGGGTGGGACTGTGTGTGGGGCACACCCTTTTATCAGTCTCCAAGATGAATTAAGTTATGAGCTCGGGTGGTATTAAATGCTGACCCAGCGTATTCTGTATTTATGACTAGCCACCCTCCCCCTGGCACCCAGGCCGGCCCCGAGGGCGGGGGTGTGTGCGTATTTATTGTCTGTTCTGGAGGCAGATGTCCCGTCCAGAATGCTGTAAGGTTTTAGGGCGCCTTCGATACTTTTTGAAATAAAAATGTTTCCTATACACTTGGAGTCATTTCTTTTCTCTGCTGGCATCTTGGGCCGGAGGGCAGGTGTGAGGCGTTAAGTGATGGGCAGGGGCAGTGTGTGCCATGCGAGGGCGCGCTAAGGGCCAGGGGCAAGGCCCTTCCTCATCTTGAATGACAAGGTGCGAAGTGGGGGAGAAGGCCTGCTGGAGCGTCCAGGCCCCGCCTGCCTGTGGGCGCTCTGTCCTCGCCCCGCCCCCAGTCCAGCCTGATGCTCTGCAGTGTGTGAACCTGGACCTGGGTGGGGGTGCCCGGGGAGGACGGAATCCTGGGGCCCAGAAGCTCAGGAGCATCACCTGCTGGAAAGCAGGCCCTTCTGAACCCAAGGGAAAGGTGGTGCCTGCGCCGGGAGGGCATTTTGAGGCCAGTTTGCCTTTTCCGCACCTGCGAGCAGCTCATGATTGGGTGTCAGTCATTGCACTTGAGCTCACTACCTGAGCTCCCAGTGGCCAAGGAGTGGAAGATGGGGAGGGGGTTCCTCACCAGGAGGCCTCAGCATGCTGCCGGCTGTTCCAGGAACCTTCCAGGGGCTTCCGGCTCATGGGGTCACGATCACAGTTTGGGGGAGGGGGGTATCCCGACCACTGCTACCACCTCCCAACAGCACTGCCCCTGGGGCAGCTGGAGGCGCACAGGCTGACGCCTCCCCAGGGTGGGGGCTGCAGCAGAGGCGACACTGACTTCGGGGCTGGCACGCAGAGTCCCCCAAGTGCCAGGCTGAGTGAGCCGTCCTGAGAGCAGCCCCAGACCAGGGAAGGTCTGGGTGTTGCTATCTAGCAGTGATAGCAAAATGGGCTCTCACTTACCCCCTCTATGAAGCATGTGCTGTTGCTAATTCCATAGAAGACCACGTGAAGCGGGTAGGAACTTGCCCGGGTCAGCACTGATGCCTCCCGCACTGCTGACGAGCAGCACCCGCTCGTCCCCGGGTCACAGGGCAGGGACCTCTCACCTGGGCGGGCCTTGTCTGCGCCCAGGCCTCCTGGACACCTAACCAGCCTCGGGCCCTTCCCTCTGGGCCGTGTGCGGCCAGCGGGGTCCAGAGCAGCTCAGCCATGAGCCCGCCTCCTCAGGCCCATTATGCTCGGCCGCACACTCCCTGGACGGGAGTCTGGAACCAGTGAGGCCATGGGGGAAAGGGGGACAACTGGCTGACCCCAGGGCTCAGGGAAGTCGGCTTGTTCCTGTGGATCTGCTCCCTGCTCCCCCTGCTACAACAGCTGGACGAGGGGTGGGAGACGGATGAGTGTCCTGGGCCAGAGGCGTGGCCCCCAAATTGCCTGCCCGGGTGTCCTGCTGAGGTCTGAGCAGGTGGGAAGGGCTGGCTCAGGTGCAGAGGCTCAGCCTGCGGTCTGCTCTGGGGGCTGGGAAAGCGCGGCCTGGCGGGGCCGGGACAGACGGTGGATGGCGGACGGCGGAGGGGCTGAGCAAGTGCGAAGCACGTGGTTTATTGGAGAGGGCCGGGGCCGGGGCTACGAGTCACAGTCCTCGGGGATGGCCGCGGTGATGAGCAGCGAGGGCTCCATGACGCCCGGGAAGCCCTCCTCGGCGCACAGTCTCTGGGCGGGGAGCGGGGGCGCCAGGCCGCCCTGGGCCAGCGACTCCACGATGACCTCGGCCGAGCCCACCTCCAGCTCGGCGGGCGGCTGCAGCGCCACCACCACCACCTTCTCGTCCTCGATGACCAGGTTCCGCAGCTTGCGCTGCCGCGGGCTGTAGTTCTTCACGCGCTCGTGGATCTCCATGTGCCGCCGCAGGTGGGCCTGGGGGGAGCGCGGCTCAGGCTGGGCCGGGGGCCCGGGGGGGGGGGGCGGGGAGGGACAGGCCTACCTGCCGCGTGAACTTGTAGCCGCACTTGGTGCACTCGAACTTGCGCACGCCCTTGTGCCTCCGCACGTGCACGCGCAGCTGCTCCACGGCTGTGAGGGAGGCCACGGGGGTTAGAGGGCGGGAACGGGGACGTGGCGGGGCCTGCGGAGCTGGAGTCCCCGGGTTTTAGCCACTCCTCGGGGCCCTGCCACCTACAGTGCCTCCGCGGTCACTACTGCATAGGACCGGAGCTGCCACCAGCCCCCTCATCCCGTTTGAGAGACGAGGATTAAACACGAGCGCCCCTGCTTCGTTATCACTGCTGGATGGCACCCCCGACCGCAGTGGGGACTGGGAGGTCCCCGCCAAGAGGCATGGCTGCCCGGCCTCTCCCAGCGGAGGCCCCGGCCTGGTGGGCAGCAGTGCAGACGCCTCCCCGCCGGGCTCAGGGCGGGCGGGCGGGTACCTTTGAAGGTCTTGCCGCAGATCTGGCAGAAGTGCGGGCGGCCCTCCTGGTGGCGGCTGGCCACGTGCCGCAGCAGCGGCCCCTTCTCGGTGAAGCGCTGCTCGCAGAACTCGCAGCCGAAGGGCCGCTCGCCGGTGTGCGTGCGGTTGTGCTTGTCCAGGCTGGCTGTGGGAGCGGCGAGTCAGCGCGGCCGGCCGGGGCACTCCCCGCGGGGACGAGGATGGGGGGGGGGGGGGGGGGGAGTGCGGGGGGGGCGGGGGTGGGGGGGGAGTGCGGGGGGGGCGGGGGGTGGGGGGGAGTGCGGGGGGGGGGACGGGTGCGGGGGAGGCCCCCTCACCTTGGGTGCGGAAGGTCTTGCCGCAGAGGTGGCACTGGAAGGGCTTCTCGCCCGTGTGCGTGCGCAGGTGCGTGTTGAGGTTGGCCTTCTGGGTGAAGGCGTGGCTGCAGAACTCGCAGACGTAGGGCCGCTCGTTCCTGTCCGGGTGGGGGACACGGACGGGCCATCACCCAGGGAAGGGGCCCCTTCACTGCACTGCAGCCGAGGGCCCAGGCCCGGGCCAAGGCAGCAGCGAGGAGGGCTTGGGCAGTGCCAGCACGGGGACCCCACCTCCTGCCCAGGAAGGTACAGAGCCTTCTCAGCCTGGAACCCCTCCCCCTCTGCCTGGCAAACCTGCTCGGCCCTCTGAGGCCCCCGCAGGCACCACTCGGGGTGGAGGGCACTCTGCCTTCCGGGCAGCCCCACCTGTGCTTGGCTTTGGTGTGCATCTGCAGGCCGTTGCGGCTGGAGGCCCGGTGCCCACACTCCTCACACACAAACAGCTTCTCTCCGCGGTGCTTGAAAGCCTCGTGCAGCTGCAGTTCTGTCCGGGACAGGAAGCACTTGGCACAGGTGGGGCACTGCAGGGCCGAAGGGGCCGGGCACAGAGCGGGGTGAGGGCAGGGCGGGGCACCCCTGGACACCCCGCGTGGCAGATGCCGCACAGCCACCCCCGGGGCAGCTCCAGTCCCAGCGTCTGAGCACGCTGCCCAGCCCCCGCCCCGCCGGGCACTCACAGCGTGGGGCTTGGGCGCTCCGTGCAGCCTGATCATGTGGCTCTGCAAGTCCTTCTTCTGCATGAACTGCTGGGAGCAGGAGGAGCACTGCAAGACAGACGTGGGCAGCTGAGGCAGCCGCACCCACCCGGACACCAGAGGGCAGGGCACCCATTCCGGCCACCCTGAGAGGTGGGGGGACAGAGGGCAGGGCACCCCACCCCGCCAACCTGGGCGGTGGGGGGACAGAGACCTGGGTGACGCCCACGCCGGGAAGGCGCCCCATGCCATACCCGCAGGAGCTGAGCCTGCCCTCTACGGCAAGAAACAAGGGCCAAGAAGGACCAGTGGCCCAGCCTGAGGTGTGGGGCACCAGAGGGATGGGCAGGGGAGGCGGGGCTCCCTGAAGCTGCCAGGGGAGGCACTCAGTGGGAGGGTCCTGGGGACAGGCCGAGCCTGACCTTGTAGGGCATCTCCCCCGTGTGGGACACCATATGCACCCGCAGCTCCATCCTCCGGCGGAAAGTCTCCTGGCACACGGAGCATGTGAAGACCTGGCGGTGTGAGGGGCAATCAGGGCGGCATCAGCGGGCGCCTCTGCCCTCTGCCCGCTGCTGGGAGGAGCCTGCCCGAGGAGAGGCCACTAGGGTGGAGAGGGAACATGCAACCTGCCTGCCTGAGCCTGACTGTCCAAACCCCCAACCAGGCCCCTCAGACCCGGCAGGCAGGGGGCAGGGGCCTAGCGGCCTTGCCTGCAGCCTCCCACCACGGTACCCCTTCTCCAAAGCCCAGGGGTCTGGCAGGCAAACCCCAAATGCCTCCTGGGCTGTCCCTTCCACTCTGGGACCTGTGTCCCCACCTGGAATACCGGGCAGCCACCTGACGGCATCCAGGAACCCTGCGGCTCTCCAAGGGTGCGGTCCCTCCCGAGGGCGGAGGCTGCTCGCCCGGCCCACACACCGGGCAGCACGCACCTGCTCGGAGCGGTTCATACAATTCCGGGCTTCGTGCTCCAGGAGGTTCTCCTTCCGGAAGTAGCACTTCCCACATTTGGGGCACTCGAAGGGCTTCTCCCCAGTGTGTTTCCTGCCAGAAGCCACAGGGGGCGTGGGGCTGAGCCACTTCCCGCCTCGCCTCACCCGCGCCCAGGGCCCCCTCTGGTTCTCACCACGTGGTTTTCACTCCCTTAGTACGTGGCTCTTCTCCCCCTTCATGGCCCAGAAGCGGGGAGCACAGGCCCTCCCCCGACGTGGGACTGGCAGACAGGAAGAGCAAACAGAAACACGGAGCGTTTACCTGTTGTGGACTTTCAGGTAGTACTTGCTGAGGAACTTTTTATGGCAGGTGGGGCACTCGACCGGCACCGCTGTACCTTTTCTGTTCGCGGGGGGCTCGGCTGCCAGGGCGCCTGCGCTCAGGGCTGGCTCGGCAGGGCAGGGCTTTCTGAGCGCGTTCGACTTCCTCCTGGTCAGCACGGTCTCTGTCTCAGAAACACAGTCGCCATTCCCGTCATCCTCAACTTGAACCACCACTTCCCACTAAAGAGGCAGGAGGAGGAGGCGTGTCACCCAGCTAATCAGCAGGGCCCCTGGGGTGGATGCAGCCAGCTCCATCCCAAGGCCCACCCAGGCCCGTCCGCAGACCAGCGCCCAGGCCCGTGGCCGTTCCCATCAGAATCTTGCACTGAGGCAGGGGCGCCATCGTGGGGAACTGGAAGAGGCTGGATTTCACTGCCCTGGGGAAAGGCCTGTGACCCTGATGCTGCCCGCGCCACGCCGAGAAGCTGGCAACCACGGGCAGCGGAGGCTGCAGGGCAAAGCCAGCTTCCCGTGTTTGGCAAAAGCCTGTTTTGAGCCCACACAACACGGATTCTACCTTGGGGCCCAGCTTATGCCAGAAAAGTGTCAATCTCTTCCCCCTACGCCCACTTCCCCCATCTCCAGCACCCTGCCTTCGGTACCTCATTGCTCCCGCCCTGCAGCTGGGCACCTTGAGCCTCCGAGGGCCTCGGGGGCGCTTTGCAATCCTCGGGCTCCTTGTCCTCCGGGGGACACAGCTTGAGGGCCTGCTGGAGTTTGCCGCGCAGGGACGGGCTCTCGGTCAGAGCAGGCAGCCCAAGCTGCGGCCTCGGAGGGCTGGTGCTGCCGCCGGGCTCCTGGTCCCCGGGGACGTGACTCGCAGCCCTGGAAGCTCCCTCTTCCTCCATGCCTGCCAGCTCCTTGGGGTGGCTGCTCACATCCCGGGGGGCAGGTCTCTCCAGCCCACCCTGGCCACCTGGTGCCGGTCCCGCCGAGGGCGCGGGGTGGAAGCTCTGGCACAGTTCCACAGCCTCCGGCACACACAGCTCCCTGGCTGCCAGGAGCACCTGGTCCCGGTTCCCTGACGTGAGGGCGAGGTGGCCCGTGTAGAAAAAGTCCAACAAGAGGCCAAAAATCTCCGCGAAGCCGGCCGGGAGGACGACGCTGCCCCCGGAGCCAACCCCATAGAGGCTCTCGAAGAAGTGGCTGCAGCAGGCGAGGACGCTCCAGTGGGCCTTGAACACCAGGTCGCCCACGGCCAGCGTGGCGTCGCAGTACTGGCCCTTCTCCCGCTGCCTGTTGAGCTCCTGCAGGACCCTCACGCTGTGCTGGATGAAGGAGCCATCCATGATCTGTCTGGAGGGGAGGAAGGCAGGAGTGACGCCCTGGCCAGCACAAGCCGGGGGTAAAAGAGAAAGCCCGTGCATCTGCGAGGTGGGAGAGGGGAGGTGGCTTCTACTCAGTCACATTTATCACCACGAGAATCAGATGGAAACTAGAGTGTGCATGCAGAGGCGGGAACAGGCTGAAAGCTTCCCCCGTGAGCAGCCCATATTAGGGTTGGCCAGAGAGTGGGTGGCGGGGCGCAAGGGGACTAGGTGAGGGGACGAGGTATGGCTTGGCGGGACACAGGGGAGGGTCAAGGGGCGCTGCTGGAAGGGATTGAAGTGTGAGGAAAGGAGCAGCGGATCGGCACGCACTGATCGGCCTGGCGCAGCGAGAGGACCCGTAGCAGCGGAGGGCGGCGGCTGCACACGGGTGAGCGAAGCCCACGCCGCTCCGTGGCTCCCGAGCGGCCGGACGTAAGGCGGCCGCAGCCCTTCCCTCTCTCGCCCGCGCCCTGCCCTTCTCACCCGGGCCGGTCCTCCCAGCGCCGGCCCCACCGACTCCAGACGCGTCCACGCCACAGCCCCACCCGCCAACTGCCCGGGGCCGTGTGTGCCCAGCCCACACAACGGAGCGGAGACGCCGCCGTCGCCCACGCCGGACGTGACGTCATGGCGCGCCCGCAGGGGTGGAACACCTGAGAGGCGCAGGGTTTAGCGCTAGCATTTGGGGGCGGGGCCACGAAGAAGGCGACCAATGAGATGAGAAAGGGGAATGGGGGCGGAGCCAGGCCCTGGACTTCCGTTCTCGGCCGCCTTCCAGAGCTGCCTAGCAACGCCAAGCTGGCGCGGGATTTTCCTCCGGTTCTGGTCGAGGCTGAGGTTCCGGCTGCGGTTTGCCCGCCGCTGCGCTTTCAGGCTTGAAGAGGTAGCTCCCCACGCTCGCCCAGCCTGGAAGCGCAACCAAGACGCACGTGTGTGTGTTTTTAAATCCTCACCCGAGGATATATTTAATGGTTTCTGCCTCTCTCAGGCGCCCAGACCAGGGTTGGAACCCGCAATCTCTTGGTGCACAGGACGCCATCCAACCAGCCTAGCCTCCGGGCGAGGGCACATGTCCCCTCTTTATTGGTCGCCCAGGCGCCGCCCCGACACTGGCCCGCAGGAGTCTTTGAAGTGGAAGCGGAGGCTCCCAGGCCGCTTCCTACCGACGCTCCAGGAGCCGCGGGGCGGGGCGATGAGATCTCGCGAGATTCTCGCGCCGCCAGCGCCGGCGACCAGCATGGCGGACACCCTGCCGCCGCCGAAGCGGGGGCCCCTCCGCTCCACGTGGGCGCGATGCCGCAAGGCCCGGCCCCAGCTCATCCTCAGCCGCCGGCCCCGCCGCCGGCTCCGGCTCCTGCGCTGGGGCGGCCGGCGGCTCCTGCGGCGGCGGCTGCTGCAAGCCCAGGCGGCCGGCGCGGACTGGCGGGAGGGCTGCGGGCCGGTGTCGCGCTCGGCGGCTGCCCCGAGGCCCAAGACCGCGGTGCCCAGCCCGGTCCCTCAACCGGCCCCCAGCCCGACCCCCAGCCGGGCTTCCAGCCCGGCCTCGGACGAGGACGCCGCCCCGCGTGGCCCCGCGAAGCTCGCCATCCCGCCGCTGCGGCCGGCCGGCGCGGGCCGCGCGTTGCTGCTGCTGCCGCGGGAGCAGGTGAGTGGAGCGCCCGGCGGGCGGAGGGGAGGCGGGGACGCAGCCCGGGGTGCGGCCGGGGAGACGGTGGCCTCTGCGGGAGTCAGAGAGCCCTCCAGGCGACGGTGCTGAGAGAGGAAAGGACGCTGCTTTGGAAGATGCCTTCAGGGCTGAAAGGAACTTGGATGGCGGTGGTTTTGGTAATGGGGTCGCGTTTCCTGGGTGCCTAGTGACGTCAGGCTCTGCGTGTTCTGAGGGTCTTGGTTGTATGAACATTGTAGTACTCGCAGCTCACCTGGAGTCACTGCCGCGATTGCTGCGAATGGTGACAGGAAGAACTGAGGGTTGGCTTAGGTAACTTCCCAAAAGGGACACGGTAGTAGGGTCCGCAGCCTGATTGCAGGGTCCCTGCTGTTCGCTGGGACTGTGGCCTGGGCGGCCCCTCCAATGAGGAGGGAAAGAAAAGCCTGCAGCCAGAGGACCGCAGAGCTGGGCTCGTGGGACACCCTTGTTTTTCACGTGTTCATGCTCCCCAGCTGCCGTGGGATGCAATCTTAAGTCAAAAACACACAGTCCCTGAAAGTCACCCCCTACAATGTCTCCGTTATTTAGAAACCTGCCACCTTTTGATATGTGACTAGCAATGAAGGTTTTAGAAAATTCAGTCCCTATATAATGTTATTTCTTTTCTTTTTTTCTTTCCCTGCTAGGTCTTTACCTTTAGCGGGACCTGTCGCGTGACCTGCCTTTACGGCCAGGTGCAGGTGTTTGGCTTTACCATTGGCCAAGGCCAGCCTTCCCAGGACGTCTTCTCCACCTACACCCACTCTCGCCTGGCGCTCAGCGCTGTCCATTACTCGGCGCCTGAGAAAAGCAAGAAGGAGATGAAGAGAGAAGCCCGGGCTTTGCTCAGAGCGCATCTGAACCGGGGTAATGAGGAGACCCGGATCGTCTGCTGAGGGTGCTGTGGCTGATAAGGTTTAGATGTGTACCACGGCCTAGACATCGCCCCCTTTGCTAGATCTACTTAAACCCTCACCGCCCTGGCCAGGTGGCCCAGCGTGTTTGATCATCATCCTTTATACCAGGGTCGGCAAACCAAGCCTTTGCCTCTCTGTTGACTAATGAGTTTGCCTAACACTGGTTTATACCACAGGATTGGGGGGGGGGGGGGGCATTCCTGGTCAGGGCACATGTTTGTTTTCCTCTCCCTCCCTCCCTCCCTCTCTCCCTCTTCCTCTTTCTCTAAAAGGAAATGGAAAGAATATCCTTGGTGAGGATCAATAAAAACAAATAATTAGTTCGTTAAATATATCCTCAGGTGAGGATAATAAAAATAACCCTAGCAAATGTCCTGAGTGACTTTTCACCATATTGTTTTCACCAATTTACAGAGAAAAGTTGCCCAAGGCCACACAGCTAGTATGACTTCTCAACCCAGGTGTGTTCCAATTATGCAGTCCGGCCCAGAAAAAGGCTCTCAAACGTCATGTCCCCCCTCTAAAAGCTCCCGGTTCGGCCCAGGAAATGCGGGCCGAAGGGCGTAGAGTTTAACGGTAGTTTAACCGCTCACAGATGACAGGTGCTGGGTGATGAAGAACTTCTCTCCGCTCTGCTCCGTGGTGCTGCTGGAAACCCTGAAAAACTCCGCCGTGCGCTTCATAACCAGCCACCCGGGCTTGTCCTACGTCTTCGAACAAGAGGTAAGACCGGCTCCGGTCAGAGTTTTGCAGATGACCTTCCCAGAGCAGTCATCTCGCACTGTGTAGGCGCTCCCCTCGGAGGTCAGCCTCCTGTGCCGTGTCCCCCAGGCTGTGGGACGTGTGCTCAGTAAGAACAGTCACTGTGGACAGGTATACCCTGAAAAGGGCCCCCCTTAGTTTCATTCCCCAGCAAAAGCCATCGTCTTGCATTGTAGTCGGTTAAGTTCTTGTTGGCATTTTACAAAAATGGTTATCTTGTATCTGGACTCATTAACGTGAGACTGGAAGTTTTCTCATAGCTGTGAATGAGTGATTTCGGTGTCCTTACACCTCCCGCTCTCTTCTCACCTGTATGTTTTGCTGGTCCTGTTGATGATTTCCTAAGGTCCAGTTTGTACTTTCATTGCCTCCCGTGAGCCAGTAAGGTGAATCTAACCATAAGGTGGTTGGACAGACTGGATGGTGAAAAAGAACCGAGGATGCCTGGCGGTTCTGTTAACTCAGACGGGGCGACCTCAGGAGCGGGTGTAGTCATGTGCACCTTGAGGTGCCTGTTAGATGTCTGCACTTCGGAGAAGCGGTTGGGAATGTAAATGTGGAGCTGTGAGCAGAAGGGGATCCAAAGGCCTCAGCACCTTTGAGGGAGTGACTTTGAGGGAGTGACTGAGTGAGAAATGGGAAGGTTCCAGGTCTGAGCCCGAGGCAGTCCCAGGAACCGGGCTCCGTGAGATGGAGACAGTGGTCATTGCTGTCAGGACTGAGGCCTGCTCCCTCCTTTACTAGAATCCAGAGTTGCTGATAGCAAGCCTTAGGGCCAGGCGGGTTCCATGCCTTTTGTGACGCCCTTTCCTGTGCTCCTGGGCGGGTCTCTCCCGTGATCCCCTTCCACACAGTGATGTGCTCCGTCCAGGCTCCAGCTGCTTCCGCGGGAGTGGGCTCCCGTTCCTCGGGTGGCTCTCCCACGGTCTCCTGGTGCTTCTGGGGTGCCATGGGGCTTCACGGACCCGCCTTCCGCGCCCTTCCCGCTCTGCCTGCTGGCTCTGTATGGTATTGCCTTGACTTCATTCAAATACCCAGCGGGCTCTTGGCCTGCGGCCTCCAGTTCCCTCTTTCTTCTGGAGTCACTCTCACACGTGTCCTTTCTCCTGGGCGTGTCCTGGGGGCGATGGTGGCTGGGAAGTAAGCATGAGCGGGGGAACAGGCGTGGTGCTTCAGGAGGAGAGCTGGCGGGGGTGGGTTTGGGGCTGGGAAGAGGGAGGGGTCCATTTATCTTCAGCTCCCAGCTGCGTGAGGCTTATTAACTCAGAACTGAGGGGAAGGGCGCCTTTGGTTTCACCTTTTCTAAAAGTTGATGCTGATAATTTCAGAGGACAACTTTCCAGATTAACGCCGAGTATTTCGCCATGAGGTCGGTGGGCATTAAGAAAGAGAAGAAGAAAAACGGCCTGCAGCTAACCGAGAGTGTCCTTTCGGCGCTGGAGGAGCTGGTCAGCGTCGCCTGCGGTGAGCGAGACGTTGCTAAGGTGGAGCGCTCCCGCCGGAGCGCCGGGTCCCGGGTGAGAGCCCCAGGGCGAGGCTGACTGGGCCGTGTTTGTCTTTCCTCCAGAGGAAGCGGACGGCTGCCCCATCATCCTGGTCTGTGGCGCTCAGGACGTCGGAAAGTCCACCTTTAACCGGTACCTGATGAACCAGCTGCTGAACAGGTAAGCGTGCTCCTGTTTGGACAGGTTGCTCCAATTGGGGTACGAAGTAGAAGTTTGGATTTAGGAAACTGGCCGGGATGCCTCTGGGCTTCTCAGGGCATTTACAACTCCGTGCCCAGCAGCTCGGCTAGGCGAGGGCTCGGGTGCGGACCTGCCTGACAGAGCGCCTTGGGGAGCCACTTGGTCTCAGCATCTGTATTTGTCCCCATGGAGATTTAGAGCAGGTCAGCTCCGCTGTCTACAGGTAACGTTTTAGGGAAGATGACCATGTACCCTATCATGGACGGACCCTGTGACCCATCCCATGTCCTCTTTAGGCACTGTACATGGATTGAGCCTGCCTATGGGGTCAAAACCATCCTATCTAATAGAAGGCCAGCGACCATAACGGCGTAAGGACCAGATTGACCAATCGACCAGTCGCTATGAGGCGCATTGACCACCTCTCAGTCTCTCCCCCGGCCCTCAGGCTCTGATCGCCGGATGGCGAAGGGGAACCACGGGGAACCAGGGTAGATGTAGGCGGGGGGTGGGCCTGGGGACTGGCGAGCAGAAGGAAGATGGCCCTGATTGCAGGTTAGGCCTAAGGACCCTACTCGTGCACGGTTTCGTGTGCTTGGCCTCTAGCACATAAAATCCTTAAGATCTGCTTTATCCTTTCCACATAGTAAAGCTCGCTAAGATTTCCTTTTGAATTTCCAGTATTTCCTGCGTTGACTATTTGGAATGTGACCTGGGGCAGACAGAATTTACTCCTCCGGGATGTATTTCTCTACTTAATATCACAGAACCGCTTCTGGGTATGTATCGTAGATTCCTAAATGTTCTATAACATGTGAGAGTAATGATACTTACCAAAAAGTCAAAGAATATAGAAGTATAAAATATGTGAGCATACCCCTTCAAACTCAGTCTTCCCATAACTGTTTGTCCAGCCTCCAAAAATGAAAAAATAAACTATGACACTTAGTGGGGTTCCATTTTAGTAAATGGACCTACTGTCCATTTTGTTACAAGTAAGTTAGAAACACAGCTTCTTTTAATACTAACATCTTATTTAACCCTATATAATGATTTAAACCAGGAAATTAACATTGATACAATGCCATTAATTAACCTGTAGATTTTATTCAAAATTAACAAGTTACCCACTAATGTCCTTTTTCTGGTTCAGAATCCAAACCAGAATTCTACATTGTTTGTTTTTGTTACTTTATTATTATTTTAAAAAAAAACACACATATCTTTATTGATTTTAGAGAGGAAGGGGGAGGGTTAGAGAGAGAAATATCAGTGATGAGAGAGAATCATAGATTGGCCTCTTGCACGACTCCTACTGGGAATCAAGCCCACAACCTGGGCACATGCCCTTGGCCAGAATCAAACCTGGGACCCTTCGGTCCACAGGCCAAAGCTCTTTATCCACTGAGCCAAACCAGCTAGAGCTGTTTTATTATTTTTTTAATGGATTTTTTTTTTGTTTTTTTTAGAAAAAGTGGGAGGAAGACGGGGAGAGAAAGAGAGACATCTTTGAGAGAGACACACATTGATTGGTTGCCTTCTGTGCTTGCCCTGACCAGGGCTGGGGATAGAACCTACAGCCCCAGGCATGTGCCCTTGACTAGGAATCGAACCCGAGACCCGATGGTGCCTGGGCCGACATTCGCACCAGTGAGGAACACTGGCCAGGGCATGGATTCGTTGTTATCTGTCTTCTCAGGACCACCGTTCACCCACCAGAGGACACCACAGAAAATGGTGTATTTTGGGAGATCTACTTGTAAAGACAACTATGAGAATTACATCGAGATCATCAAGTATGTGTTCAGCTCCTACAGGAGAGAGTCCCCTCTCATCATCAACACGATGGGCTGGGTGACAGGTAAGGCCACCGTGGCCCGCGGGGCAGGGAAGGACCCGGGGGGGTGAGCTCCCGGCTCAGACCTGCGGCTGGAGCCAGTTTTGGGGGAGATCCTCCGGCCGAGCGCGGTCTCGCATTGACACGGCGTTCCCGGAGCGCCGACGCCGACGCCCTCTCCTTCCCGCAGACCAGGGCCTCTTGCTCCTCGTCGATCTGATCCGCTTGCTGTGCCCCAGCCACGTGGTTCAGTTCAGTTCCAGCCGGAGCAGATTCATGCCGAAACTCACCCCCAGCTACATCGACGACATGGATGGCTTGTACACCAAGAGCAAGGCCAAGGTCAGAGACCGAGGCTTCTACCTGCCAGAGTTCGCAGACAGTTTGGAATTTGGTGACGAAGAAAAGGAGAGTCCGGCGGCCTTTTCTGGACATAAGCTGATGTGCGTCCGGTCGGACTTTGCGTTTAGAAAAACGCCAAGAAATCGGTAAGTAAACCGTTGAGGCCGGAGAATTCTGTTTTCTTCAGTTTAACACGCCTTCTGCCCTCAATTCCTTCAGAGCAGTCAGTCCTGTGTCACTTTCCATCTCCAGTGCAGTTTGGGGCTGGGGGGGCAGTCAGGCGTTTTCCCGTGGGAAAGTCCAGAGGGGCTCCCGCTAGGAGAGCTCCCCGCTCCATGTCCCCACTCCATGTCCCAGGGCTTAGAGAAAGGCAGGGCTGGGGATTCCAAGGTGCACATGGATCTACGTAATGGAAGTGGGGGGGGGGGCCTGTCGGGGCCGCTCCTCACCTCCTCCTGTTTGCTTTGCAGAGAGTCGCATAACAGAGTCCTTCGGGACCTGGCCTTGTTGGGGTACCTGGGCCAGCTGCACCCCCCCGCGCCGAAACCGCTTCACCCGCTGCACAGCCTGACCCCCTACCAGGTACAAGCTGGCTGGCGGGGGGACGGCTGTGTGCGGTACCTTCTGTCCGCTCTGTCGCTCCTCGTAACCCTCAGCGCCAGCCCGGGGAAGGCTCGGTGACTCCCCGTTTTGCAGACGGGAGCTGAGGAATCCAGCGACAGTGGCAGAGTGGGCATCAGGCTGGGCTGTCCTGGGCACAGCTCTGGTGCCGGGCCAGTGGGCATGTTCTTCCTGACCCCAGAGGTGGCCCTGGGTTGAACCCAGGCAGTCTGGTTCCAGCGCTCCCGCTGCCGAGCTGTGTGGCTCTATCGTTGGTAGAGCAGGGGCAGTACCGACCTGGTGGGTGGTTGTGCGGAGTCCACGGGGTGCACAGTGGTGCCTGGTCCCCAGTGGGCACTTAAAGCCTTGAACGTTACTGTCACCATTAGATTCTAGCACCAGAGTGTGTGGATCCTGAATTATCTGGGGAGAAACCACCTTAACGCTAGAATTCTGGCTGACGGGAGAATGAAACAGTGACAGGAGCACTTCCTAAGTGCTTACTCTGCTGTGCTGCGTCCTAAGCCCGTGTTTCCTCCTCTGCTCACAATGGCCGTTATAATCCCCATTTTACAGATGATGGGGCTGAGATCAGCTGACCCTAAGGGGCTCAGAAAGGTTTGGGCTGGACTGCAGGCTGTGCAGCCTGACTCCAGAGGCAGAGCATTCGCCCTCCGCTGGATGCCCTGTCCAGTGTTGAGCCCTCACTGTGCTGAGCTCATTACCAGGAATGGCCTGGTGCCTGCATGGCACTGGGACCTGAGCTCAGCAACCTGGGCACAGTCGGGTGGAGGGGACAGGGCTGAGGCCTCGCAGACGGGCGCAGCGGACCTGCCTGGCAGGGATGCGCCTCAGTCTGTCGGCGAGATTGGCTGAGGCCTCCCATCCCCCCCGAGAGCCTGAGGCAGTTCGCTCCCTGGCGCTCTGCTCACTGGGAGAAGCTGTATAACCGAGTTTGGAGTTTACTGCCAGTACCTAACCTGCCTTCTTTTTACTTCACATTTGTTCTGAAACCTAGATAATGTGTGTAACAAAACACTTTTCTCCTTTAAGAAGTTGAAATTACCCAGAAAGTCACATTAAAGGTGGTTCTTTATCTTGTGCTCCAGGCATGCGATACATTTGTTTTAATTCGGTATGCTGCCTTAGAGAACGGATGGCGGCTCCTCAGAGTGAGCGTGGCTTTCTTACATCAGAGGCCTCCGTGCTGGGTCTTCACCGCCTCCCTTTGCTGTGGCCCCGGCAGGACCTTTGCAGACAGACAGCTGTGTTTCCTTAGACAGGAAAGTCTCAGGCATCAGTTTAGCTTTCTAGCGAGTGTGGCTGGTGCACAGGGGCTTGACGTCAAGCTCTCAGGTGCCCTGTTAGAGCAGGGAGCCGAGCAGAGCTGGCTGGTGTTCCCATGCTTTTAGAGACTGTTCGGCAGGCGGTTTGGCAGACAGAACTTCAGAGAGCTGGCCAGTCCACTGATACAAAGGAAAGTAGTTTCCAGAATTAACCGAGGGAGGTGGGCAGTAAAGGGGAGGGAGGGCATGTATACGGTGACGGAAGAAGATTGGAGTCTGGGTGCTGAACACATGATGCACTAGACAGACTGTCGTGGAAGTGTATGCCTAAAACCTACGGGAGTTTTTTAACCCACGTCACAGAGAATTTATTAATAATAAAGAAAAACGAGCTAACGGGGAGGTGCCCATTGGCTTTGCAGGTCCCTTTCAGTGCCGTCGCCCTCCGTGTCATTCACTCCGATGTCGCCCCCACCCACGTCCTGTACGCGGTGAACGCCAGCTGGGTCGGCCTCTGCAAGATCCTGGATGAGGTGGGAGGATTCACCGAGGGGCCCGTCCTGCTCACGCAGACTCCCATCTGCGATTGCCTGGGCTTCGGTGAGTGAGAGGGAAGCGCGTCTGTAACACACTAAACCTGACCCCCTCTCCTCGATGGTCAGAGCTGCTCTGGCTCCACACTCCGTGGGCCTCGGGCCTCGGGCGGCAGGAAGCAGGTCTTCCTCTGTTTCTCCTCCGGCCTCTCTCAGGCCTGGATCCCTCGGCCTGGTGGCGCCTCACCCAGCGTATTGTCTCAGTCCATCTCCTGCTGACTTCCCACAGGGTTCCGAGCCCGTGGTACTGGGCACTCACTCTGCTCGGGTATCTCACGGCATCCGGGTCCGAAACAGGTCCTGATGGTCCGCAGGCCTGATGTTCTCCCAGTCCCTCCTCTCCACCTCCTGTCCCCAAGGTCCTTCAGCGGTCCTTGAAGACTCATGCTGGTGTTTGGGCCTGACCTCCAGGTCCTCCACCTCGTTCTCCACATCCCCCCACGCCAGGTCAGGCAGCTTCTATTCCTGAAATGAGTCCGGCTCCTCCGGTCATGTCCTCCCCTGCCCATATGCCATCCTCATCCCTGCACTGGACCCCACACTCGGGAGTGACCTGAGCCAATCTACGCAGTCATGTCCTGACATCCTGTCGTCATAGCGCAGGTCCAGGCCTGGCCGCGCAGGCCTCCCCCCTCCCCGCCCTGGGCCGTCCCCTCCGAGAGCCCACGGCAGAGTTTATCTCTTGGCTCCTGAGGTCCATAAACGTCAGTGAATGTTTCTGGAAAGTTCACCCAGAATTAGCCGAGTCCTTAAGTGATGACACGTTTCTAACTCATACAACACTGTACTTCTCACAGCGTCTCTTAGAGACGGGCCCCTGCAGACCGTGGACGAGGCGTGAGTGAAGGACTGTCTCCCCAGGCGCTGGCGCCGGCGCCAACTAGGACTGTGGCGTGAGGACCACTCGGTGCCTCAGCCGAGCCGGGAGGAGCTACCACGGCTTCCGGCATTCCCACACTCCGTCTCTGCCACTTTGTATTTCCAAACAAAACCCAGTTGAAATTGGGGCTCTGTCTTAAAAGCTGCTCTGCCGTGGGCGTGGGGTGGCCCGGCGCCTGGCGGAGGGTGACGGTGTGTGCTCTGGTCTTCCAGGGATCTGCAGAGGGATCGACATGGAGAAGCGGCTCTACCACATCCTCACGCCTGTGCCCCCGGAAGAACTGAGAAATGTGAACTGTCTGCTGGTCGGAGCCATCTCCATTCCCCATTGTGTCCTCAAGAGCCAGGTAAGCGGGCTCCGGACGCCCATGGGGAACGGCTGTGTCCGGGCAGAGGGAGCACCTGAAACTGGGCAGGAGCGGGGGCAGGTCCTTGTTGGGGACGGACACTTGGTGCCTGGGGGAGACAAGGCCATGAGCCAGCAGCTGCGGAGAGCCATTCCCGTTCCCGAGCTGAGGCCATCTCCAGGGGCAGCCCGGGAAGGTCACGGGAAGGTCACAGTGGCCAAGAGCACCTGTGTGGGCCCCCGCCAAACTGCAGGGCCTGTGGGTGGCCTGGCTGCTCCCCTTCTTACCTGCTTGTTTGAGATGGAAACCCCCACACTTACCACTGCCTGTTGGATGTGCTTGTGGAGTTGACTAGACCAGTGGTCGGCAAACTGTGGCTCACAAGCCACATGTGGCTCTTTGGCCCCTTGAGTGTGGGTCTTCCACAAAATATCTGCAATTGAAACATACAGCGTGATTAAAACTTCGAGGCCCACGTGCAGAAGTCGGTTTTCAGCTCTCAAAAGAAATTTCAGTCGTACTGTTGATATTTGGCTCATTGACTAATGAGTTTGCCGACCACTGGGCTAGACAGACAGGAGGCGGTCATCTGGCCCCTGGCCAGTGCTTCCGGGCCTTTGCAGGGAGAGCTCAGAAGAGGGGGGACTGGGGAGGGGTTGGGGCTCACTCAGACTCCACACTGTTTCCGGGGGGGGGGGGGGGGCGGGCAGAGGAAGACTGGGCGGCCTGGGAGTTTGCATGTTTTCCGTTTCCTTTCAGCATGGGTTCGAGGGGACGATTCCTTACGTCACAACAGATTACGATATTAAACTTCCTGGAGCGACAGGGAAAATCGGAGCCAGAGAAGCCGAGGAGACGTATGTAAGGAGACAACACCCAAAAGCGAGGTTCCATCGGAAGGCACACTGACGTTTCTACCCAGTGAGGCAGCTGCCTCTGTCTCCGCCTGACGCAGCGGACGGTGGGTCCGTGCTGCGAACGTGCCCTCAGGAGCAGTGTCCTCAGCTCGTGGGAGCCGGTCCGCTTCAGTCCGTCCTTAAGCTCCGCGACCGCGCGCCTCGCCTGCCGTGTGGTCCGTCAGACACGACGCTTTACTTTCTAAAGGAGGCAGCTGCAGGGAAACGTGCGCCATCGAACAAAGTTCTTCAGAACCTCATTGTTGGAATCTGGGAACAATAGGGAGACAAGGGCCCCAAAAGATGGACCAAGGAGGAAGGCAGGCTGGCCAGCGGGATCCGAGCGTCACTGGAAATGGGGACGCGCCTCGGCCCTTGCCCACCTGTGATGGCCGGCCGGCCGGGGCCAAGGCCCCGCTGGTGGGTCGTTCCATCCCCTGGTCACGTGATTCCCGTCCTCTTCCGTTCCTCTGGGACCAGCCGTAAAGATCGGGTTTCATTTCCAAAGGTAATCAAGGTTTAGCAGATGGAGGTTTGGGCTCGAGAAGCCTTCTCTGTGTTTTTAATCCACTGGTTTTATGCCGAAGGAAAGCTGCTCTCCCATCCAGGCGCCTCTGGGTTTTGCCCTGATTGGCTTCTCCTCCGAGACCGAGCCTGGGCAGAGCTCTGGGAGACCAGGCCTGGAGGGCAGCTCCGAGGAGGCCCGTTCCTGCCATGGGCGGCCGGACCTGAACGTGAACATGCGGCAGCTCTGGGCTGTGAGCGCCCGTCCTGAGGGCGGGAGCCGGTGCCGGGACCGTTCTCCTCTCCTCCCTGGTGCTCAGAGTCCTCACCCCCTGAGGTGGGGTTTTGGAGGCAGAGAGGAGCCGTCTGAGGAGAGCGGGACACGGAACTTACTGTGAACGTCCGCTTCCTGAGGAGCGTGTGGAAGGAGGTCCCAGGACTCGCAGGGTTTAGCACCTTCTCCGTTTAAATTGCTGGTGATCGCTGCCTTGAAGCTCTCGGACCCTCCGAGAGCTCATTCTCCCAGGAGCCCTGGCCCTCCGGGTGAATTTAGGATTCTGGAGACATTTGAGGTCTCACTTCTTCATTGCCTTTATTTATATTGAAGTTTACCGTGTACGCATTTTTCTATTTTGACTTTGCAAGTAATTGTGAGACAATCCACCACCGTCAGCTTCACGCCTCCTTCCCTGCCCTGCGTCTCGGTGACAGTCAGGTGACAGTCACTGCCGGTCTGTAGGGCGCTGGCAGCAGGTCGCACTGCCTCTCCCGGACCCCAGGCTGCCTGCAGCTCCCCTCTGGCGGGCGATGCAGGACGCGGTCCCGCTCCAGGCCCCTCTGAAAAGAGGCAGACTGGCCACTAGGGGGAGTTGTCAGCCGTGGTCAGAGGGCCAGACCCTCCAGGCCCCTGGCTCTGATCAGGCCGCTGTAGCTGTCCATTTCTTACCAATGTCAGTGGTTTGGGCTTGTTATTTCTAGGCGGTTGTGGTTCGGGGTGTGTAGGAATGAGTCTGCATTGAGTTATTCTTAATCATCCGTGTGTGATTTCCAAAGCAGTACATGCTTATTCTAGGTCTATTTTATTTTATAAACAAAGACAGCTCAGAGTTCCCTCCTGACCCCGCTAGTCCGGGGGTAGGAGTCTGTGTACGCCCAGGCCCGGTCTGGAAACGAGCTTTGGGGGCGGGGGGAGGCAGCGACACGCCCTCGGGTGCCTTGGATTAGGGTTTCCCAGAGAGCGCAGACTCTGGAAATGGCTCGTGGGAGGACGGGGTGGGGAGGTCCCAGGTGGAGCAGAGCCCCGCCTTTGGCAGCAGCATTCCTCTGCCGGACACCCGGCTGTCCGCCTGACGGTGTGGGGAGACCCTGTGTATACAGGGCTCCTTGTATGCCAAGCACTGAGTGTTTAAATGGACCGGCAGAGGCTTTTAGATTGGGATGTGGTGGTGTCGTGGGTAAGACAGCAGGCTATGATGGTGGAGCTCCGAGTTCAAATCCTGGCTGGACCGCTGGCTCCATGAGGCTGTGAGGGAGACATTCACTGAGCCTGTTCCCCTTTAAGACGGATGGAAGCTCTCCCCGGGGTCCCTGCCCGCACGGCGCCGAGGCCGGGCCCTCAGGAGCAGTGACTGCGGCCGTCTGGGAGGCAGGGACGAGACCGGTGGTTCGCAGTCACTGGGACGAAGCAGGGCCTCCGTGTTGGAATCAGAAGCCTCTCACCTGGCCCCCTCCAGCAGCTTCACTTCACACCGTCCTTCCGGCCACGTGTCCGCTAAAGAGCTCCCGTGAAGCACCCCCTTCCTGGGAGTTTTTCCTAAACCTCCGTCCAGCGCTTTTGAACTTGGATGAACAGGTCCCGCATTTAGAACCTGCTCGGCCCACTGCACGAGGGCCACTAGGTGCCATGTGCCGTCTCATCTGGATCTTCTCAACTGTTTGGCCTTTCCACCACCTTGGTGTCCTGTTGTATGGTTTCTGTCCAGCTTTTGTCACTCACGTCCCTTTTATATCATTAAATGTTTTTGAGGACATGACTTGGTGTAATTCCTTACGTTCGTAGGCCACATTGTTCCAGGAAATGACTTCAGAGGTTAGGAGCGATGATGGCAGAAACACGGGGTAAAATAAGACCCTGGCGGGGCTGGGGGCCAGGACGGGGCCACAGGAGGCTTTCCCCGCGGTACTGAACGCGAACACGGTGGCAGTTTAATTTTTCTGTTTGGGTCCTGGTGTGTGAGTTGAGAGGGTACGAACTCCTGTCTGGCTGTCTGGAGAGAGTATTAGAAGGAGAAAAGGTTTTGCTCCTGGAAAAGCTCAGAATAAGGAGAGAGGAGCCGGGTCTGGGCCTGTCCCTGTCTGACAGTGTGAGCCGCTCCGCTCCCGGCTCCCCTCCCAGGCTGGGCCTGCCCGGAGACGCTGGCTGACAGGCTGGGCCTGACGGTGGCTGGAAGACATGTGGGACCGTCCGTGCCGAGGAGGGGAAGGAGCCCCGTGATGCTGGGCCTCTGGGAGGAACAGCTTCCTAAGCTGAAGGTTTCCGGGTTTTGCCAGGAAAAGGGGAGAGGGCTGGGCAGCACCGCCTGCCGGAGCCGCGCTCGGAGTCCAGTCGGGGCAGCAGGTCCCTGGAAGAGCCGGGCCTGAGTAAGCGAACAGCTGAGCCGGCAGACACTGTTGGGCTGGGAAGCCAGGGTTGCCATGGCGACTGATGCTCAGCAGACTGGCTTGGGCTTTCCTCCAGCTCTGGAACTGACTGATCTCCCGGGTGCACGGCTGCCGGGCAGGGAGAAGCCACCGTCCTGCAGGCCTGCCTCCTGCCAAGGCGGCTGGCAGGGCTGCTGCCGGGCCTGAGCAGCCAGGGTCCCCGCTGCTTTCCCGGAAGGAAGGCAGGCGAGGCGGCCAGCAGCCTGATGGGTGCCTGGGAATGGAAAATCCGAGGGGAGAACACCAGCAGCAGGGAAACGCGGTGCAGACCTCGGCCAGGAGGCCCGTAGCTAGAACACACAGCGCCCCCGGTGCCCGCAGCGCGGGGAGGCAGCTCGGCCGGGCGGAGGGCCCCGCGGCTGTCTGTGCCGCCGGAGGAGCGAGGACCGGGCTGAGGCTGATTCCGCCGGAGGAGCGAGGACCAGGCTGAGGCTGATTCCGCCGGAGGAGCGACGACCGGGCTGAGGCTGATTCCGCCGGAGGAGCGACGACCGGGCTGAGGCTGATTCCGCCGAGGAGCGAGGACCGGGCTGAGGCTGATTCCGCCGGAGGAGTGAGGAGCGAGGACCGGGCTGAGGCCGGGAGAGGCCTCCGCCCTGGCGTCTGCCGCCCCGGCAGGCAGGGACACAGGCCTGGGCGCCTGGCGCGTGGCTCGAGGGCCGGGCGAGGCCACCAGAGTCAGGCATGAATTCGGTCCTCACCAAGTACGGGTCTCGCCTCGCGGCTGGCTGAGCCTTCGTCTGGGGAGCAGTGAGTACGTTTTTCTCTCTCGCCCAGGAAGGGGGCGGCGGCTCTGAGCCAGGAGAGGAGCCGGGCCGGCGCGGAGGGAGGTGGCCTTGGAGGGCCACTTGGTCTGGGCGCTTTAAGAGGCCCCCTCACTGATCTGGGGGTTCGTGAAAGGGGGGACGGCAGGTGGCCAGCCGTGAGGGTCAGGACCGCGCAGGGGCTCTGAGCAGGCCGAGCAGGGGCCTCCGGGTCGGCCTCCCGCCCCGGAGAGAAAGCTAGGTCTGCGGGGGTGCTGTCTGCAGGCGGACGGAGGGCCCGGCCCGGGGGGAGTGCCCGGGGCCCTTCTCATGGCCACGTGCTGTGCTCGCGGCCTTGTCCCATCGCCAGGGTGTTCTGAGGAGGTTCTTGTGTTGGCCTTGGCAGCTATTTGTAAAAGTGCCGTGAGCCCTGGCTGGTGCAGCCGAATGGCTAGATCACCCGCCCACGCACTCAAGGGCCATGGGTTTGATGCCCGGGCAAGGGCACGTACCTGGGCTGCGGGTTTGATTCTCGTGCCCAAAATCGGGGTGCGTGCGCAAGGCAACTGATCAATGTGTCTCTCATATCGATGTTTCTCTTTCCCCCTCTCTCCCGCCCTGGTACTCTCCAAAAGCCAGTGGAAAAAGTAACCTCGGGGGAGGATTAACACGAAGAAAAGGGCCGTCAGTGTTGTCTGTGCCGGACACCAGGGCGCATTGGGGGTGTGGAATCAGGACTATGTTTATGAGACCAAAGAGCCTTCCAGTGCCCCAGAATCGGAGCCCTGAACCAGACACCCCATTCCTGGCCGCAGAGCAATGACCTGGCCACGGTGGCCACTAATCTCGGCGCTCAAACAAGCACCCCGTTCCCGTCATCACACCCCACCGGCCGGCACAGAGCTGTGGAGCCGACAGGGAGTCACGGGGATTCTTCCAGCCCACACGGGCTCTCACAGGGAGGGGTGTGTCCCCCGCCCCCGCTTCCTTCCCTGCTCACCCAGAGCGACTTAACCGTACATGGGGCCCCCGGGGAGCGGGAAGGGGCCGAGGACCCTGGCAGGCTGTGACCTCTGTCTCTGAGCCCCAGTGACGACGTCAGTTAACTGAAGGCCCGGGGCGGGGGCGTGGGGGGGAGGTCCCGGCGTGGGTGAGCGGGGTTGAGGCCTTTGGGAATGTCCCCCAAGCCATACCTGCCACGTGGGCGGAAAACAGCCACCTACTCTGTTTCGGCCTGATTGTGTCTATAAGCTATTTATTTATTGGACAGATGTGAATGTGTCATAGCTTTTAATCACTTAACACATATTTATTGAGCACTTTTGTTGTTTTTAATCTTCACCCGAGGGTATTTTTCCCATTGATTTTTAGAGAGGGAGGGCGGGAGAGAGGAAGGGAGAGGAGGAGAGGGGGAGAGAGAGAGAAGCATCGATGTGAGAGACGTATCTGCTGGTTGCCTCCTGCACGGGCCCTGGCCGGGGATCAAACCTGCAGCCCAGGTACATGCCCTTGACCAGGAATCGAACTCTGGCCGCCAGTGTGGGAGCGACGTACTGAGCACGTGCTGAAGACGCTGTGAACAAGGTCAATGCCGGTCTGAGAGGCTCGGTGGCTAAGGAGAGATAAGGGCTGTTTACAGGAATGGAGAAGCAGTTTGCATGTAAACACAGCGATGGTGGGGCGATGGGTTCATAGCTGAATGATAGCCCTCTGGGGACACCAATCTAGGGTTTTCTGAGCAGTAACGTCACCTACAGGGCAAACCGAAGTCGGGGGAGCGGGTCAGAGGCACTTCGGGGGGAGAGTGACAGGCAGGGGTTTGTGCGGTGGACGGGGCTGGCCACGGGCTGGCATTCGGAGGACGGACGGGGGGCTGTGGGAAGGGGCAGAGATGGAAGAGGAGAGGTCGGGGGAGTGCGCTGGCGGCAGTGAGAACTGGAGTCTCGCAGGGTGGATAGCACGGTCCGCCTGCCCTTTGGGAAAGTCTTTCTGGTGGCAGTTTGGCGAGTGGACTCGCACAGTGTGGGGCAGAGTCTGGCAAACGAGGAGGGGAGCGAAGAGCCAGGAGCCATTGCAGGAATGCAGATGCCAGGCGGTCGTGTGTGCCCTCTGTTGGCACATAGACCGGCAATTGCCAGCCTTCCTCACAAACCACCAGTGGCGACCGCTGATCTAGACCCAGGGTTGGCAAACCGCGGCTCGAGAGCCACATGCGGCTCT